GAACTCCACCACTGCTATCATAGCCCCAGTCATGACTATGCTAGGTCTTCATCCTTTGGATAAAACAAACAACAAATAATTAATTGATAGATTTACAAATGAGATTATCTTTTTCCAATAGGCAGTGGCAGACAAAAAAGGTGGGAGAGGCATACTGGCTCAGGGCCCACTAAATTTTCAAAACTAAACAAAATGGAGAAATAAGGAAAATCATATGCAAATTTAAGTCTAAGACTGCCATTTCCGGCAATTTAGAAGTGCAATAACCATGAAATTCCTTATCTCAGTCCCAACACATGGCTGGGCTGAGGTGGTAAAATCTCTCCATCTGTGGAAGTTTCTCCCTAGGCCACCTCCCTCTATTTTGCATTCCTGGGTCCACCATTGGTAGGTAAAGTGTATCTAATCATTTTTTTATGCAGTAGTTGCTACTACATCAAAAATATCAATGAAACTAAACCAAGAAAGAATGTAACTAAATATGAAAAGTTTTCTGGGTTTGTTTTTTTTAAGAACTTTGGATGGGCTTCTTTTCGAGATGATGGGCTTCTTTTGAGGCTACTTTTGCACTGTCTCTTATGGGGGGGGGCTTCTTTTCAAAATGAATGCTGAAAATTTTGAGAATTTCTACTATTCATTACACAATAAACAGTGGTGTCACGCTCGGGCGCTGACGGGGGCGGGGCGCAGTGCCAGGGCCCCTAGGCACAAGGGGCCAAGACATTGTAGTATAAAATATAATATAAACTATAATACCATAGTTCCATTCAATGGAACCCTGACAGTTTTAAACATCAGCAATTATAGAACACACACGCAATAGGTCTAGGCTAGGCCCCACTTTCTAAGTCACAGAGTGGACAATACTGTAAAGTTTTTTTTTTGCACGGAGAATATAAAAAATCAGCTGAATTTTGAGCGGAAAATTGCTAAGTAGGAAAACAGGTGTGCGGAATCGTAATTGCTGCATAATTGCATTTGTTATATAAGATTTGGGCAAAGTCTAATTTTCGGCCAAATCTGCGCGGAAATCGGCCTTTATTTTCGGAAATGCGCCGACAGAGTTTTAGGTGAGACTTTAGGATATAGGATATCTTCCCTGCGCAGGCCTTAATATACAGTTTCTTCTGCTTCTGGTGAAATACTGCATAAAGCTCCACAGCAGAGATGTACATTATGTACAATGAAATGGGGCCCCTAATAATATTGATGATGTCCAACAAATTTAGTTTAGTTTACAACAGAGGAAACTCTTAATTGGAGATTTGCTCTCTTATCTTAACCTTTTTAGCATACTGTAGGCTAGGCCTAGCCTATCTACTGTAGGGTGGCCTAATAAGTAATTAAATATTTTGCTGTCCTTGTTGGTACCAATGCCATGGCATGGCCAGCTTAATGACAATGTTGTGCACATTTTGGAAACTTTTGCACATTGAGTTTCTGATGTTGTTTTAAACTGTGAGCGCAGTTAATATGCAAATTGTGCAAGGTTCATTTCAGTAATTATTGTAAAATGTGACATTTAGATTTATTTTAGCTGATGCTGATAGTAACTTATTATTAGATTATAACTCAACATAATGTATTTTTTGGGAGGTATAGGGCAATACCGTCTACCCTCTATCGTCTAGGCCTAGACTAGGGCCGCCAAGTGAGTGTCAGCCATGATGGTTGGTACAATGACAAAAATAAGAATAAAATTGCAATTATTAAATGACTTACCACCATTATCATCCATGCTATCCCGGTATTATTCATTAAGAGTCTCTCTAATTGTGCACAACAGCAATAAAGAAAGGAGGCAAATGTAAAAGGAAGTGGATATATTTACGTCTCCGTAAACAAATCAGGAAACGATACGTTCACGTAGAATAGAGAGCGCATGCACAGTCAAACTTCAATTAACTTGCATTATCGGTCACGTAAATTTATTGCTTCTGGTTAAATGTACAAGTTGGGTTAAACTTTCAGGAATTGAAATTTGCGTCAGCCTAAGCCACGGTGCCCAAGCTCACCATGGCACTGATTTGCTAAGGCCCTTTTGTTGGCAAGTTTCCAAATCCCCCAAACGTGTAGTGTTTATAGTAATGTTAAATTACAAAACATGACCAAAGCAAACATGTTTTTGTACAAACAAAGAAGTTTCTGCTCTTTAAAAAAACCCATTATTCAACAACACACGATCGAGTCGACGGCAAAGCAACATGGGGAATTCCTGAATTGGTTGAATGAATTTTTGTAAACAGTTTACGACAGGGTTTGACGTTCGATAATTATAATTTCTCCGTTCTTATTAAACAAATAAAATTTGGTACAGTGGTATGCACTTTAATAATTAAATAAATCATTGAATTATTTTGACAATGAGCTAGAAATAAGCCTATTTGTATTCTTTTCACTCTACTAACGTCATGACCACAACGTACAAGTGAGGCTGTTTATTCCACAAGCTCTTTGCATCCATTTTGTAGAGACATGCACAGCATGGTATTTCATTGAAATTAATTGCCAATGTTGTTTTTGTTAATATAAAACATTAAAAATATTTGTTTTGTCTTACTTTATTCGTAATGATTAAATACCTTAGAGAAAACAGACGCATATTCTTTACTTTTCATTCAAATGACGCAAGTAAAATGACAAGAACAAAAATATTTCCAGCTGATAATATCACTTTTATTTGAAAAGTTAACACAATGATTTAATAATATATTTAATGATTAAACTACATACTATAGTAGGAAACTAAATTAATTTTATTAAAACAAAATTAGGTTTTTAATGAAATCTGTGCCGTTCGTTGTAGGCTTGGGCCGACGCTAATTTCCATGAGTGAACGATGCAAGTTTATTAAAGTATGACTGCGCATGCATTATTTATTTCACGTAGATATATCGTTTACTGATTTATTTACGGTCACGTATCCACTTTCAATGGCAATGTAAAGACAAAAAACTTGCCTAGTCTAGGCCTAGATAGAAAGAGGCGCTACGGCTCCAGCGTAGGCCCATATTTTAGTACAGTAGTAGTAGCCCTAGCAAGGACATAGAATACTATACTACTACAGGTCTAGGCCTAGTGTACTCTTAGCGTAGCCCTAGCCGCCAGAGCTAGCCCTAGCTAGCCTAGCTAGGGCTAGCCCTAGCTAGCCTAGGGCCTCCTCCTACTCCAGGCGGTAGCTAGCCTAGCGTAGGAGGAGTTAACAACACGGCCCTAGGCCTACCTAGACTGGCCGGCCTACTAGGCCTATATAAGCCTAGCCAGTGCGACCAAAAGTAGTAATTTATAAGCGCTATAAATTATTACAAATATAAACAAAATTATTATTATTAATAAAACAAAATATAATACCATTAATAGTTTTCTTGAAAAAAACTGTATCGTATCTTCTATTATATTGAGAGAGAGAGAGACGGTGTCGATAGTTCTATGGAAACGTTGGCGGCAGCAAAGCAGTTGCAACTTGCATCATGCAGAGTGGCGGTGCACATCTAAGGATAATTATATAAAATATAACAACACCTGCAGTAGCGGTGCCCATCTAAGGATTAATGTATAAAACATGACAACACCTGCAGTAGTGGTGCCCATAATGCAGTAGCGGTACCATCTAAGAATTAATATACTGTATAAAATATTATGCTTCATCGTCCCCCGCTGCTATACACAGTACATCAGTAGGCAGCTCTCTTATACACATCTAGATGTGTATAAGAGACAGGACATGCACAGCATGGTATTTCATTGCACGTACTTTCTTCCCAGGTGCATGTAAATTTTCATATTGTTAGCTAACCAGCTGAGTGTATTCCTTTGTGAAAATGAGTACCGCGGCGTACTCATTTTCACAAAGCCAAAGAGTATACTGCAACGTGACCACTGCTTGGGTATTTACCCAAGATCTTGGGTATTTTGACTTGGTCTTAGGCCTATCTATACAGGTTTTTCGTTCAAATCCTTGGGTATTTTATTTTTACCCCCGGCTCCATCAGGGATCTGCCTCGGCTCGATCCCGCTGGGGCCATAGGGGGTCCTAGGCGGCCCCAGACCCCCAACCGATGGGCCCCGCGGGCCTGCCCCGGGGCCCACGGCCGCTCTTGGCGGCCCTGCCTCGGACACCATTTCGGGCAAATCCTGGCACCACCCCTGATTGCATGGGCTTGCAGTCGACGTAATTTAAGGCAGCGTTATATTTAGGATTCTTCTTGTATATGACCCCCACCATAGCTTGTGCACACACTTCCTAAACGATTTTCTCAAACTGCGCTCCACAACCTGTGTAAGAACACTCGCGGATCAAGCACTTTTGGGGAAAGGTCTTGTCATGTTGCCATCCCTACTCTAGGTAGATCTGCCAGATTATATTCGCGAGTCTCCTTCGTTGGCCACTTTTAAAAAGCAGCTTAAAACTCACATTTTTTGCATCCTTGTGATCTAATTGTTTTCTCTAATCAGCTGTTCTTTTTTTCTCACTCGCTTTTTTCTTTCTACTTTTCCCTCCGACATACCATGTTGATGATCTGACCGACTGAGGGCCCAGTAAAATTAGAGTCATATCCCCATCGGCGGACATAAAATGATAATGATAATCTGAAATACGAGAAATACCAAATTGGAACCTTATTTGGCCCCGACACCCTCCAATCACACTACATCCGGGGTGGGGTCTAGTGAGATTGGAGCCATCCCATCGACGTAACGATGATATAATACGAAACAGGGTGAGAATCCCGGCCCTGGGTAGTAGGAGAAGTTATCAAAAATCTATAGAAATATAACATAGGCCTAGATCGCGTTTTAATACAAAGTGCAACAGAGTTTATTACAAAGTGAGACAGTTCATTTTATTACAAAGTGTGACAGACAGTTATTACAAAGTTGCGACCATTATTACAAAGTGCGACAGACTTTATTACGAAGTACGACAGTCATAAGAAAATGCGACCAATATTACAAAAGTGCGAGGCAACAGAGTATCACCTTCATTGAACTCTGTTCCACGCCTGTGCGTCGAATATAAGTGTTGTATCGGCATAATGTTCGTAGAGTGCAAAATCATGCTTCGTACAGTAGTGGCGACAGCAGGGGAGGGGGAGCAGGAGAAATCTCCCTCTGTCGGACAGTCCCGGAACCCTGTTGTCCGACTCACGACTAGATCGTCGGATCAAAGATAAAAAGTAAAATAATAATTTGACTATCCAAATAACGTTATTTTGACTGCCAATCCCTAATAGGCTTATGGTCTAAAAGCACATTTTGACCCATTTTAAGCCATTAAAAACTGTCCCTGTGAATTCTATTAGGGATTTGTTTTATTCCGGGCCGTCGGCCGAGGCTCTTATCGGCCCCCTTGGTTCGGACTCCTCCGTCGGACATGTCGGGCTCCTTGTCGGCAAATTTCTGGCGCCATTGCTGGCTTGGTACTTTCTGTTTATGCTGTAATATGTGCTTAAGGATTAATGCTGAAATTACAATGCTATAGGCCTCCTACTCACCCAACAGCGTACAAAAGTTGAGTACTGTAACACAAACTGTAAATTAATTCAGAAAAAAGCAATGAGATGTTTAATTCATTTCAAATTTATTAAATTCCACATAGTGGCCCAAGGCAAATTTGCATGTAAACTTAAAAAATGTAAAAGTTCTAAAAGTAGCAATATAAAATTGACATTAAAAAGTGTTAAGTTACATCAGAAAAAGCACAATAAAAGAGATGTTTAATTAATTTCAAATTCATTAAATTCCACATATAGTGGCCAAAGGCCAAATTGCATGTAAGTTTCAAGTTTTAAAAATGTAAAAGTTCTAAAAGTAGCAATATAAAATTGACATTAAAAAGTGTTACGTTACATCAGAAAAAGTACAATAAAAGCGACGTAAAATTCATTTAAAATTTGTTAAATTCCACATAATATAGTGCCCCGAGGCCAAATTGCATGCAAGTTTTAAGTTTTTAAAAATGTAAAAGTTCTAAAAGCAGCAATATAAAATTGAAATTAAAAAGTGTTGTGTTACATCAGAAAAAGCACAATAAAATAGGTGTTTAATTCACTTCAAATTTACGAAATTCACATATTATAGTGGCCCGAGGCCAAATTGCATCTAAGTTTTAAGTTTTAAAAATGTAAAAGTTCTAAAAGTAGCGATCCATTTAAAAGTGTTGTGTTACATCAGAAAAAGCACAATAAAAGAGGTGTTTAATTCACTTCAAATTTACGAAATTCACATATAGTGGCCCGAGGCCAAATTGCATGTAAGTTTCAAGTTTAAAAAATGTAAAAGTTATAAAAGTAGCAATACGAAATTGACATTAAAAAGTGTTATGTTACATCAGAAAAAGCACAATAAAAGAGATGTTTAATTCATTTTAAATTTATTAAATTCCACATATAGTGGGCCGAGGCCAAATTGCATGCAATTTCAAGTTTAAAAAATGTAAAAGTTCTAAAAGTAGCAATATAAAATTGACGTTAAAAAGTGTTATGTTACATCAGAAAAAGCACAATAAAAGACTAAGCTTTATGTATGGAGGGACACAGGAATAAAACAAGTACAACAACCTTAATCTCGTTACAATATGCACATCAATAAGCGTTAGGAATTCATTTCATTTCATTTATTTATTCGACCAATACACATTTACAAAAGGTACAGTACAACAAAAAGTATTATTATTATTATTATTATTATTATTATTATTATTATTATTATTATTATTATTATTATTATTATTTGGTTACAATATAACCAACATCATGTTAAGGTAAACTATATATAAAGAGAAAAGGAAAGGAGTGCAAACAGGGGAAAGTATTGAAAACATAATTATTATTAATAATCATTATCATTATTAAGCATTTTATATATATATATATCCACCTAAGCCCCGGTTGGGGCTCAGGTGGTGAAAACATTATTGAAACTTTTAGATGCCGGAAAATCCCCTGAGCCTCATCATAGTTGGGTATGAGGTGGGAAAATATTAAGAATTTTGAACTTCTAGATACCGGAAATGGTACTTTAATACTAAAAATATTTGTAAACATTCAAAAATAGGCATTTAGATTTATTTTTTCAACTTATAAAGGAGGGTGCTAAGGCACAGCGAGCCTGGATACGCTACTGTTTTATAGCTATAAACCGCCAGCGCTACATCAAGCGTCTAGTTTGAGGAGCTCACTAGAAAACGCTTGGAGTAACAGCCGACTAATTAGCCAAACTCTCACGCAGGGACGTAGCCAGGATTTTGAAAGGGGGGGGGGGAGCCGTTATGCGAATTACGTATGCCCCCGGCGGGGTCAAGGGGGCGAACCCCCCTGGGAAGTAGGGCACTCTGAACGTTCTTAGGACTGTTTGAGAGGAAAAAATGAAAATTGCAATAGACGCATTATAAATAAGCGAAAAAATAATTATATAATAAATCAATACGGTAGTGGCAGATCCAGGAATTCGAAAGAGAGGTGAACCAGGGAGGGACTTTCACAGACCGAGGAATCACCCACCTCAGCCCCAACATGATTAGGGCATCTGTAGATGGCCGGAATTTACACTCTCGCACTTCAATTTGAATATATTTTCCTTTTTTTTCCTTAAAAAATTGAAGGGTGGGGGGGGGGTGCCTTGAATCCACCTCTGCTCAAAACATTCTTTATCCAGAAATA